TCCGTCCGTCCTTCCTCTCTCCTCCCCCTTCTCTCCCTCCTCCCCTTCCTCCCCTTCCTCCCCTTCCTGCTTCCCTCCCTTCCTTCTGTGATTGAGTCCAGGGCCTCTGAGCCATGCCCCCAATCCTTTTGTTTGTGTTTTCTTTCTTTGAAATAGGGTCTCACTGACTTTGCCAGGTTGTCCTTGAACTCTTATCCTCCTGCCTCTGCTTCTTGAGTGCTAGGATTGCAGGTATGTACTGCCTAGTTGGGAGCTGATTTTTCAGGTTTCCCAAGAATGAATTAAAGGGGACTGGGGTGGTGGGAGTCAAGCTTCAGTTCTGCCCTGGTTCCTTTTGGTTGGTGCACACATCATGAGCAGTGACTGTTTAGACGCTTCCTTCCCTCTGTAATTCTTGTCAGGTTGTTGAGTGCACCTCATTCTCTAGGAGTCTCCTGGGCATTCAAGGGCATGGAGCATAGCGTCCCTGGGTTTTCCTTCTTGCCACCATCTTTTTCCCAAGCACTGGGAAAACTGCAGACGATCCTGGATGGTTTTGTCTGTTTCCTCACCTTGTGTACCACCAAAGGACCAACTCTTATTTAACTTTTTCTTTCATTCTTCCCTTTGAATGATTAAAACTGCAAATTAATTCCATTACTTTAGATAGATGTTTCATTTTTCTTTTGCGGCACTGAGGTTTGAACTCAGAGCTTCATGTTTGCTAGGCAGGCACTCTTACCACTTGAGCCATTATATATAAAAATATAAATTTACATATATATAAATTTTTTGGTAGCATGCTTGCTAGGGAAGCACTCTACCACTTGAGCCACTTGCCAGTCCCTTTTTGATAGATATAAATGGAAAATTTTATTTTATTTAAGGAATTTATTATTATTATTATTATTATCATTTTCTCTCTCTTTTTCTTCTTTTGGAGAAGATCTTATATAGTGAAGGTTGGTTTGGAACTTGAGATTCTCCTGCCTCAGTCTCCCAAGTGCTGGGATTACAGGGGTGCACCACCATGCCTGGTCATATTTATTTATTTTTGAGACAAGGTTTTGCTGTACTTTTCAAGCTGATCTTGAACTCCTGGGCTCAAGCCATCCTCCTACCTTAACCTCCTGAGTAGCTAGGGTTGTGCCACTACAGTTGGTTAACTGGAAGTTTTGTGTAATTTTGAATATATATTTTCTCTGTGTAATTTTGGCTGGAAATAGTTGTGGAGAGAGATGGAATGTGTTCTCCAGACTGGTTTTCCTTCTTGCTTTTCTCCATAGGCAGCACTCGTGTGCTGTCACTAGACTGTCCCAAAGCTTTGCCACTGCCTTGCTCTTCAGATCTGTACAAATTCCTGTGCTTTCAAAGGCTAATGGGGGCTGAGGCATTTTCTCCAGCATCCCTGACTGGCTAATTTGCTTAGAGCCTGTGTTTTCAAAGGACTTAACCAACAGTGATCTTTCTCATTTCTTGAATACCTGCTGAAAGTCTTAGGCAGAGGCTGAATGTACATATGATTTCATTCAGTCTTCCAAGACCAGGATTAGGCTTGACCACCCCTTCTGTGCATGTGCTGGGCTTGCCTTGGGCACTGTTGCTGTGCTGCCTCACAGGAGAGCCAGCACCATGTCTATGGCTTGAGTTTTCCACTTGTTAACACTTTCTTTTGTGTCTGCAGAACAAGGTGGGTTGGAACTCACTTTCCAGCTGAAAATGGGATGGTTAACTAATATTAGAGTCTTCCATATGTGTGACTTGTGAGTAAGGCCTCTTGTCTTGAGAAGTCTTCCAGTCACGTCTTCTGGAACTTTGAATTGACATCTGGGCTCTGGACCCAGACGTCGTGACTGTGCAGCCTGTTGAAAAATTAAAACAAAGATGTGCTGATTAATGCTTCCTAAAAGAGCTGTGGGTTGGAAATGAGTTGGGGATTTGATTCGTTTCAAGATTTTGTAAGGATCCTGGCCAGGCATTTTGCTGGGGACCATTTCATATTCCCCCAGATCCTTGTGCTGTGACTGTCCATGTTGACTGACAGCTTTGTCCTGAGGCTCTCAGGGCTTGTGCTAACGAGAGGCTTCCTGGTCACAGAGCTGCCTGGTTCTGGGGACCAGTTGTGCCCAGCTTTCTCTACTAGGTTGGCAGTAATCTCCATTCCATTTGTAATATGCTCTTTACCATTTGCTGTCTTAGTATTGTCAAATGATAAGAAGAATGGTGGAAGAATATTATTGCTAGAGTATCATAACCTTTCATTTAAGTAAGTTCTATGAAAGGCTGTATGCTCTGATGGTGGAGACCAAGGCTTGAGGTCCTCCCTTGGCTGTCACCTTTATTTGGATGGTGGTTTCAGCACGGCCACTAGCTGAGATTACTGTTTATCTCCCCCAACATCTCTTGTCATCTTTGTCACACAGTGGTAGAGGTGAGGGTCTAGGAGTTTCTGGGTGTGAAAGGGAAGTGTTAGGCCCCTGTCAATTCTGGCCATGGCTGCCTCTTTCCTACAGCACCCCACCCCCGCCAGTCCTGACTGATACCCTCACCCAGGAGTTTTTGTGCAGCTGAGCTGCACATGCCCAGGAAGCAGGGGTTGTATCTTACGCAGCTCTGAGTATCTGTGGATCATAGACGAAAACATAAAGCTTCTAGAAGAAGATATAGGGGAATATCCTTATGACCTCGGATGAAGCTTCTTTTAGACAAGGGCACAGGAAGCACTTAAACAGAGGAGAAAAAAATTGATAACTTGAGCTGTGACGAAATGAAATGCTTCTGCTTATCAAAAGACTCCCTGAGGAAAATAAATAGGCAGTAGATGGGGAGAAAATATTTGCAAAAATGTATGACCAAGAACTTGCATTTGGAACACAGAAAGAACCACCACAACGCAATAAGACAAATGACCCAATTTTAAAAACCATGAGAAGATTTGAACAAGCACTTCACAAAGGAAGATACACAAGTGGCCGGTAACCATATGGCAAAATGTTCAACATCATAGTTATCAGAGGAAATGCAAATCAAAGCCAGCAGAATGGCTAAAATAAAAAAGACTGACACCATCAACTGTGGTGAGCACACTGAGCCACAGTGGTACACACTCATCAGCTGTGGGAGTGCAAAATGATGCTGCCACTTTGGGAGGGTCGGGCAGTCATGGGGGATTTGACACGCACATGAATAATGCAGGAGAGAGCAATGGTGCTAGAGAGTCTGTGTGGAATAGAATTTATGGAAAGAAGCAGCAGCTTATAGCCCAAGGGCATGAGCCAGGAGCTTCTGGGAGAGAGAGGACGATGGGATTGGAGTCCTTGGAGGGGAGTCTAGAGGAGGGGAGGGAGACCCAGAGAGCCTGTGGTGTACCAGAGCCTATCTGCTGGTCCAGTCCTGATGATGCCTGTCTTCACTCCGGCCTGCCCTTTCAGTTGTCATTCATGGCACACAGGCAGTTATTTTATTTCTTTGGTGGTGGTTTACTGTCCTCTCCATCTCCCTACTGATTCTGAGCAAGTGACTCAAGCATGGAGGCTCCGAGGGAGGGGTCTTTGCCCATTTTGCTAACTGCCATGTCCTCAGTCAGCACAGTGCCTGGCACAGAGGGAGCGTGCACTGAGTGTGACGACAGTTGGAAATGAGGCTGTCCCATTAGCCAAAGGTGGGCAGTGGCACTGGAGGTGCACGGCAGGGTGGGCTGATGTGGAGGCCCGGCAGGCTGACCTGTCTGGGCTGTATTTTGTGGTACCAAAGGGTTCCTGAGCAGGTTTAAAATGGAGGTTGTCTTAGTCCTTTCAGAGTGCTATAGCAAAATACCATAGATTTCTTGCAGTTCAGCAGGCTAGAAGTGCAAGACCAGGGCACTGGCAGATTTGTGTGTGAGATGAGGGCGCTTCCTAGTGCTTAGGTACTTTGTTCTCACATGCAGAAGTGTGGTGGTGCTTCTGGGCTCTCTTTCATAGGGCGCTAGTCCCATGCAGGAAGCCTCCACTATTAGGACCCAATCCTCTTCCAAAGGCCCTACTTGCTAACAGTGGTACTATGGAAAGTAGGATTTTAGCACTTGTATGTTAGCAAATATTCAGTTTCTGTCAGGGACAGTGTCTCTTGAGTTGTGAGGCAGGAATGTTAATCTGGCTGTGTACAGGTTAATTAAGGAAGGCAGAGGAAGAGGGGGAGGTCACTCAATGTGTTCTGAGGTAAGAGGGGTGTGACTTGGGGCATTGGGGAGGGGATTAAAGGCACTAGTTGGATAGGGTTTTCTGATATGGGTCTGTCCCCACAGAAATATCTGGAAACAGATTGATTATCAGGGTCAGGATGAGAGAACCAGCTTCTCAGGTAGCAGCATGAATTACCTGCTTTCTTTTCCTATGGTAGCAGCCAAGGTGAGGGCTGGGCAGTGAACAGAGCTCCAGCCCAAAGCCAGATCTCATCTCTGCAGTTTGCTGGCTGTGTGACTGTGCAGGTTGTTAATACTGCTCTGAAGTTCATGTATGGATTGCTGTGTTGATTACGGTAGACTAAGTTTGCTGGCATATAATGGGTACTTAGCTAGAGAAGTTATTATTACATCACAGCATTGTTGGGAAAATCTAGCTAGGTCTGCTGTAACCCATGAAGTCATTAACATTCATTTTCTTTTCACATGGTTCTCTATTGTGTTCTGAGAAGTTTTGTGTTTGAACAAAGGCCCTGTCCAAATCCTGTTGTCTTGAAGGGCTCTTGTTCCTTTTCTGAAGGATGTCTTATGCGGTGCTTAGCATGTGCCTCATGCCAGAGAACCTGGGCCTTCCTGTCCCAAGGCCAGAATGCACTTGGAGCTGTGGCTCCCAGAGGGTCTCGGGTGTCCCTGGAAGCCTGTCAGAGCTTCTCAGTGTTCTTATGTCATGGTGCTGGTGACCAGGCTTTCCCTCTCATCCTGTCTCAGCAGGCCTTTGTTTTATAAAAATGTTTTATGTATGTTTCCTTTTTCATTAGAAGTTTCTTCAAAAGCTTTTTGCTTTCTTCCTGTGCTCCAGCTTTCTGAAGAAGAAAAAATCCAGCGCTACAGCATCCTCTCCGAGCTTTATGAACTGATTGGCTTCCATCGCAAATCAGCTTTCTTCAAGCGTGTGGCAGCCATGCAGTGTGTGGCCCCCAGCATTGCAGAGCCTGGCTGGAGGGCCTGCTACAAACTCCTCCTGGAGACGCTGCCTGGCTACAGTCTGTCACTGGACCCAAAGGACTTCAACAAAGGTACCTGACATCCTGGTGCTGGAGGTGCAGCCTTGTTTTATTTCTGTTCATCATGTGCATTTTAGCACCTGCTGGATATGATGGACTTTGTAATGGGTGCAGGGGACCAAAACCCTGTCCTGTACTGGGTGCTTACAATAATAACAAAAAATAATGGAGCTCTTCTTGGGGGCTTCCATTCTTTTGTTTTGTTTTTGGCAGTACTGGGGTTTGAACTCAGGGCCTTGCACTTGCTAGGCAGGTGCTCTATCACTTCAGCCATGCCTCCAGCCCAAGGGGGTCCCATTCTTAAATCACAAAAGGGGGGTCATTGACCCCTTTGTGCTCAGTGACATAGTGTATCAACATAAAATGCTTGAAATTTCCTAATGGTTTTTATGTACCTTATATAAGTTAGTTAAGTTAGCAAACATCAATGAACCAGAAAAAAATATACTTGGGTACACGTGCATCCTTAACAGTTGTGTGTTTTATGGTAAATTCTTACTGTAATATTAATTCAAAGTAAACATATTAAAAATACTGCCATAAATCCCATAATATGTATACACAAATATAATGCTTGGTTCAGGCAAAACTGATGAGTAGGAGGAAAAGCCTCTGTTGGTTCGTGTTTGGTAGGGAACATAATACACTTTCCTCCAGCTCAAATCTAAGGTTAGTGAAGGTAGGGGCATCTAGATAGGAAGGAACTGAGATGTCCTACCAGGGCACAGAAAATCCCCAGTATCCCCAACATTCCCCACATCCAATCGCAAATCACATTCTTCCTTACTTTTACCTGCTTGTTATCTACAGACTACAAGGACCCTGCCGATGACTTGTGGTACACTGGCCTGTGCTTTGAGCAGGTGTGCTTTGAGCAGGCAGTTCCTCACGTGTGAACCCTTGGCACCTTTGGAGCCTACTTGTCTCTGCACATCTCTGGTCCTTGTAACCCCCTGCCCAGACTCTTCTGGGGCAGCCGTTCACTGTGGTTGTGCTGTCCCTGTTCAGCGAGATTCTCAGCATGGGGCTTGGGCAGTGCAGGGCAGAGATCTGTAAAGGGCTATATGCAAAGTCCTTCAGGCTGGGTGGGCCATATAGTCTCTGTTCTCTGCAGTTGTGTGAGAGCAGTCACAGGCAGTCTGCTAAGCAGTGATACTTCATTGGCAAGAATAGGTGGTGGGCCAGATTTGCCATGCTGACTGCAGTTTGCCAGACCCTGACTGAGGTCTGTCTGTCTGTCTGTCTTTCTATCTATTTTTCAATCATTAATCTAATCTTTTTTTTTTTGACAAACTTTCCCTAAAATGTTTTAAAAAATCTTTGAGAAGGGGGCACTGGGTATGGATAAAGAGGGGAGACTGTAGCACAGTAGGACAAGGGGCTTCTGAAGCAGGGGTGAAGGGATAGAAGATGGTGGGGGCCATAGCACAGCTACCTGTCCTCTTCCTCTGTTGAGGGAAGAGACCTGGCCTGGAGAGGGGCCACTTGAGGTCACGTGGTCACTTGTGCTCAGGCTTGAAGCTAGGTAGGGGTAGCTGTGACCTAAGGTCCCATGGGGATGGAGAAGCCCTTGATTTTTGTCTTCAGGGCCTACGCTGTCCTGGCATGCCTCTCTGCAGATTGGGCAGGCAAGTGTGCTTTTTAAGTCATGAGGCCTACGCTCCGCTTTTATGTTGGGCTCACAGAGGATATATCCTTGCCCATGGCCTTGCCAGGTCTTCCTCCTGCATACCTGCTAAAAGGTGTTTTCTTTTTTTAAAATTAAACATGGGACTTGACATTTGTCTGTGCTCGGTATCATGTCTGACTGTGACTCATGGTGGTTGGGGTCATGCACATATGTACATGTAACGTATATATCTTATATCTATATATATCTATCTATACATGTATATAAAAAAAATATGTGTTTTTAATTGGGTCTTGCTGTGTATCCCAGGCTGGCCTCGAACTTGAAATTCTTCTGCCTCAGCCTCCTGAGTACTCAGATTACAGTTTTGTACCATCTCACCAGGGGTCATAGGATTTGGGACCATTTCCAACAGATCTTGCGCTCTGCAGAGATTTCTGAGCTCTTGCTTGGTGCTGGACACCAATGCAGGGTGTCAGGGTGACAATGTGGATACTGTGAGCTCCTGTCAGGTCCTCAGCTTCTTCGGGATCCCCTCAACTGCATTCCTTCTAGATGGGATTCCACTGTCTTACCCAAATAGATACCATGACAGCTTTTTTTTTTTTTCACTTGCCCTTTTACCTGCTCTCCTTTCTGTAAATTTTTTCTCCCCTCTGTGTTTCCCTAAGAGATGGGATGGAATCTAAGGCTTGTTGAGTGGCACTTTGGATGGGGTTAATGTATGTACATCAATCAGATGATCCTGAGCTCTCTGTCTTTCAGAGATGAGGGGCCTCGTGACAGCCAAGAGGCTGTGCTGGCTTCGGCACAGCCCTCTAGTGGCTTCTTGGGGCTGCCTCCACTGCTGGAACAGTGGCCTGTGCGTGAGTTGGCCCCCCAGCCCTCTTACTTCCTTCCTACACTGGAGTCCAGTGCTCCTGCTCCTGGAGGAGGGTGGATATTATTCCCTCAGTGGTGAGCAGGGGTTGTTGAAGCCTTGGGACAGGGAGGGCTCTTGCTGAGTGTTGTGTTTTGGGAGCCCCACTGGTAATGATGGAAGGCAGGGCAGCCTGTAAGAGGCTCTAGATCCAGGTTGACCATAAAGGTGGAAGATAGAGGTCAGTGAAGGAAAAGGGGCCAGGGAGATGAGTGATTAAAAGGTTGCTAGATTTTGGGGACTCAGGGTCAGACCAAGCAGGATGAGGAATTTGGGACCTAAATAAGATTAGCCGTTGTCCGTGTGCCTGGTGTATTTTATAGGGAGGTTAGCTGGGATCAAACCTGCAAACAGGGTGAAACATAACATGATTTTCCAGGAGAGCATGGATCTTTTATTCTCATTAGTCTGAGTTTATAGTGTTTTTATCCATGGAGTGCTCAGCGTATGGGACTGGTGCCTATGGTGAGCCATTCCTGAATTCCTGGCCTCCTCATAGCCACCCTGAGGTGCAGTTGTAAGCACTTTTGTACTTTTTGGAAGAGAGAAGTGGAAAGATGAGAACAAAGCTTGTAAACTGAATGGCACTCCCATAAATGTGTCGGCACTGCCACAGCTTGTTTTTTAGGGTGCATGCAGCAGTGAGCTAGAAGAAGATGAGGGTGTTTGCTTCTGGTCTACCTCACATACTCTTCCAGCTCCAGCAGGCAGCTTTCGGGTCCTGTTTCTAGGTGGTACATCGTGGGCTGACAATGACCCACAGCAGGAGAGGTGCAGCTGTGTGTTTTGTGGTGGGCCAGTATGCAGTCCCAGAGCGTGTCCCAATGTCTAGGCATCATCTGCTATGTTTAGTATACAATTCTGAAGCAGGGATAGCAGAATTATTTATATGTTCACATCATCAGCATCTTCAAAGAGTATTCACTCCTGTTTTTAAAAAGTACAGATCATTTGAGACTTAATTTTATTATTTTCTTTCCATCACTTCACTTTCTCTTGTGGCTTTATTAAAAAAAAAATAGAGAACTTTTAGGTTCTTAGCAAAATTGAATGCAGAGTATAGACAGTTCCTGGATACCTCAGAAGCACCGCTGTCCCTACTGTCAACATCCCCTTCTAGGGTGGAACATTTGTTAACAATTGATGAATCAGAAACTGACATGTGACCCTGCTTCAATTCAGTGAGAGACACTACAGTCTCAGGAAGGTTTAACCTGAATTTCACCATGAGGAGAATAGTAAGACAAATCAAAACTAAAGGACATTCTTTAAACAACCGACTTGAACTCATCACAAACGCCACAGAGTGACAAAAACACAAAGGTGGGACGCTGTTTTAGATTAAAGGAGACTAAAGTGCAGTGTGTGGTCCTTGAATGAATCTTCAATTTGAAGCATGCACAAGTGCTCACTTGCACAGCAGTCACGCGTAATTGAGGCATTCAGCTACAGAGAGTGGAGAAGCTAGCGTTGTGTCATGCTGACTTCAGGAGCTTGCTAAAGATATGGAGATTTTTCTGGAGAATATCCATTTTCTTAAGACATATGTACTATTAAATGTAGGATTGAGGTGGCCTGATGTTTGAAACTTGTTTTCCGTCAGAAAAAAATCCCACAAGCCATCAATAGTCAGTATTAGCATATTATCTATAGCTGGCTTCAGGGTCACTCTTGGTGGTGTACTTTTTTGGGTTTTGACAAATGGGTAACAATAAGCACCCACTATCAAACAGAATAGTTTCATTGCCCTAAAAATCCTCTGCTTCAACTTCTGATCCTCCCTTCCCTCTGCCCCTGGCAAGGGTTGATCCTTTATCTCCACAGTTTTGCCTTCTCTAGACTGCCACATAGTTGCAATCATACAGAATGTCATTTTTTTAGATTGGCTTCTTTATGTCTTTTAATGGCTTCATTTCCTCACACATTGAATAATACAGCGCAGTTACACATTCACCTGAAGAATCTTGGTTAACATCTTGGTTGCTTGCAAGCTTTGGCAATAATGAATAGAGCAGCCATAAACATTCATGAGCTAGGTTTTGTGTGAACAGACATCTTCAGCTCATCTGGGTAAATGTCAAGGAGCCTGATGGCTATATTGCCTGGTGAAAGTGTGTGTAGTTTTGTAAGAGAGTGCCAAAGTGTCTTCCACAGTGACTTTTCCACTCTGAATTCCCACCATCGGCAAATGAGAGTTCCTGTTCTACACTCCTTCAGCACTTGGTATTGTCAGGGGTTTAAATTTTGGCCACTCTGATAGGTATGTAGTGGTTTCTCGTTGTTTTAATTCATACATGATGTTGAGTGTTTTTTTCATGTGTTTGTTTACCATCTAAATACCTTTTTTAGAGAAGTGTCTATTCAGACCATCTGTCCATTTTAAAATCAGGTTCTTTGTTTTCTTATTGTTTGAGCTCTAAGAGTTGTATAATTTGAATAACAGTTCTTTATCAGATGTGTCTT